AGAGGAGGCTGAGGGGAGACCTCCTGGCCCTCGGCAACTCCCTGCCAGGAGGGGGCAGAGAGGGGGGATGAGTCTCTGGAGCCAAGGAGCCAGCGCCAGGCCCCGAGGGAATGGCCTCAAGCTGCCCAGGGCAGGGTCAGGCTGGCTCTGAGGAAGGATTTCTGTGCAGAAGGGGCTGTTGGGCGTTGGAATGGGCTGCCCAGGGCAGGGGGGAGTCTCCGGGATCCCTGGAGGGGTTGAAGAGTCGGGCTGAGCCAGCGCTGAGGGATCTGGGGGAGTTGGGAACGGTCAGGGGGAGGCTCATGGTGGGGCTGGAGGAGCTGCGAGGGCTTTTCCAACCTAGACGATTCTGTGATTCTGTGAAGCGGGTTTTTGCAGGAGATACCTGGTCTGTGTGGGATTAGCTGGCAGCTGGGCTCGGTTTCCCAGCTGTTAAATCCTGAGGACAGATGGCTCCCGTGGCGCATGAGCAGGTAACGAAGCGGAGTTTCACTCTATTAAGCGGTCGCAGACTGGGCTGAAACCCTCAGGCGTTCTAATAAAGCATTAAAAATTCATGCTGTGGCAAAAACCCAAGAGTGATATTTGTTTTGCTAAAGCAAATCTTACACATTCAGTAAAATTAAGATCATCAGCAAAAAAATAAGACAGCAAACGTGTATCTTTTTCACAAGTAGCTTCTTGATGGCAGAACTTGCTTTTGTGACTGCCAGTTCCCCCTTCCCATTTTGGCAGCTCCAGTCTCCTGCATCCATCATGCTTCTTGCCCCGGTTCCCAGGCTGGCACCGCACCCTGTCCCACGTAGCCATGCTCAGCGCAGAGCTGGGCCAGCTGGAAATGGCCATCATTTTGCTGGACTTTCCTTCCAGCAGTCCATTTCTTCCATCTGACCTGTTATCAGGCTACACCAAAGGATGTAGAAGTAGGAGTGAGGGTCTGAGAAACAGGGTTTTTTATCTGACAGAAGTTGCTTGTGCTAATATTCACTAAAAATAAAAAATCAGAGGGAGGGAACTGGTGACTAAACTATCCCAGAGCTGGAACGGGAGGGCAGAGCTCCAGAGAAATTGCAAATCCATAAGCTACCTCCTGATGTCTGATTCCCTCCTTTGTGCTCTTTTGTAAATGAACAGGCTTGTGCCAAGGACAATTTGACTTTGATATTTTACTTTGCACTGTGCAGATTTAGGCGAATGGAGGATGATGTCAGGTACCTCCTTCTCACTGCAGACGCAGCAAATCGATTTCCCGTGTTCGCGGTGCTGCTTTCGCACAGCTGACCTGTGACACCACGTCGCCTCCTGATGGGTTCGAGCCCTGACAGTTACAGCCGCCCATGGAAAAAAAACAAAAACTCATGGGTTTTTTTTCTCTTGCCACCCACTTCTTGGGGAAGTCTCGCTGCTGTTCTGGCTCAGACAGATCACTTACCAAGGACAGACGCTGCGCTTTGCTGGCCTGGGTGTCTGCCCTGACCTTGGGTGGGTGAACTTGTTGTCTGTGACTTCTTCCTCTGCTTCATCAGTGCCAATAACATCACTTCTTTAGCTGCTGTGCCCACATTTTCTTGGCTTTGCAACAAAATGCCATCCCTGTCACTGATGGGGAACTTGCACCTTGGTTTAAATCTAATAATTTTGTATGGCTGGGTCCAGCTGTTGTGGGGGGAGGTGTGCTGGGGGCAGAGGGAGCAGAAGGACATCAGCATTCCCTACCCAGGGAGGGCAAACCCCCCCGATGGGTGTTATAACAATTCACAGCTGGCCGAGCTGACCAAGGAGAGAGGCTGGGGCACAAACTCCAAGAGTAAATTTTTATTCATACTGAGACATGAGGTGCACCAACCAAACTGGGGCACCCTGGTGGTGTTTTACATGGGGGTTTTATACCCTTCAAGCATTCAGATACAACATGATTTAACTAATCACCAACACACACACACACACCCTATTATTAATCATCATAAAACTTTGCGAAGGAACTCTATTTTTGCAGCATTCTGGCTGCTTGACAATTGATCCAGCTGTCCCTGGAGTCAGTCTTGCTGGAGTTACTGATCTATGATGGGGCCGATGCTGGGAGGGTTTCAGAGATGTGTCAGAGGGGCTGGGGTGCTGCTGTTATCTTACTTGACCCGGGGTATCCTTTAGCCTTCCTGGACAGCTCTAAGCTTCCAAGAAGAAAAGTCCTTACTTCTAGGGCCAGGCTGTCCTTTAGTTTGTTTTACATGAGCATGAATGTAAAGTGAAGTGGAAGTAAAATTCCACTACCAGTGGAGAATGTAAACTAATATATATATTAACAAAGTTAATATACTTTCACTCTATAAGGACTGGTTGATATAATAAAGAAATTTTCACAGCCTGTAAGAGCTATGAAATAGCCCCTTCAGATCGGCTCTCTTTTCATTCCCTGTGTTGCTTTTTTAAGTCAGTCATTTTGAGGATTTGCTGAATGTCACTTTATGCCACAAAGGGCATCTCCTGACCTCAGGTGGGTGACCTGTGGGGTGACGTGCTGTGTGCTGGAAACAAGGGAAGAAGAAAAGAGGAAGAAGAAAATGAGAAGAAGAGAACAAGAAGAAAACAAGAACATTCTGACCTATTAGAAAAATCTGATTTCCAAGCAAAATTGCTACGACTGTGTCCAAGATGTATTTCTCTGTCGCCTGATGGACACTGTGCGTGGTGGAGACCCTCCATAAACAGCTTGGTGAGGGTGAGTGTGGTGTGAGGAGCTCTGCCTGCATAGTTACAGAGGTGGAACTTCATTCCCTGGTCTCTCTGTGTTCTTACACCAGATACTCTCTGTCTCCCATGACATCACCTTGCTTCTTCCACTGGATTTTAACTTGATAGCATGCTGATAGCAGCTATTTCACTTTTATTGGAGAACACTCCATCCTAAGCATTGCTCAGCAATTTCAGGGCGTGCTGCAGCCTCAGGTTTTATGTCTCCAGAGACAGCACTCTTCTTATCCTTCTTCCAAGCACCCTGGAAGTGCTGCTGCCAGAGCACTTCTGGGAGAAACAGAGATGGTTTGCAGCAAGGGTAGGGAACTTAGCATCAGGAAATCTGGACGAAGGGCTAAATCCAGGAAAGGATGTAGATACTGGCCTGGCATATTTTGTTTTGTTTTGTTTTGTTTTTTTTTACTTCTGATTTTTTCATGTCCGTCTTTTTATAAATCTGCGTTTTTTTTCCAACTTGCTAGTTCCTCTCCTTTTCCACCATCCAAAACCAGGCATAGGACTGCAGGGATAATTCACAGAGTGAAAGTTTCCCCATGGAAGAAAGACTCCAGAAATGGCAGCTGCTATCAGAGCAGAGGAGGACTGCAAAAATTAAATTAATATTGGAAAAGAGCATGGAGTGGAATACAATTTTAATGTAATTTGTGGGAACCAGTGCTTTTTGGTAAGTCTGCTCTGGAGCTCTCTCAAGAGAAAATGTTTTAAAACATAAATGGTTGCTGTTGGCTGGGGAATTGAATAGTACATCAAGAAATACAACATAAAAGCATCTAATGCATGGAATAAGGAAGGGTGGGAAGGGTTGTACGTTGTAGAAATGTCATCTCTGGGTTTTCAGAAGTGATGTAAGATGGGCTGGGAAGGTGAAAGAGCTGGGAAAGCTCTGGAAGGTGACCGGTTGGACAGGTGTGGCTGCAGTACAGGGACACCTTCCCTAGTTAGTGAAAGGCTTTACCTGAGCAGCATCAGGTGAATATTGGAGGAAGCCACATGTGACTGGCAGAGCTGGTCCAGGGAGGATTTTTCCTCTGAGGAATATGAGCATCATCTCACCCCTGGGTGAGCATGTAGGTGGTGGAGGATGAGCAGGCTGACCCAGACCGGCAGCCGGGGCTCAGCTGCCTGCCAGGACCATGCTGTGGCAGCAGGAGGGTTTGAGCCCTTTCCAGGACATTGGGTGGGAAGATGAACAGAGATGTCCCAGAACCAGCGAGAGCAATGGTCATTCTCTTAAAAGATGGAAGATGCTCCCCTTCCCTCCCACCCTGTGCACAGTGGGCCCTCAGCACTATCCTAGTCCCCTTGAAGATTTGTTCCTGCTGGCCAGACCCTGTGGCACTGTCCTGTGCTGAGACGACACCATGCAGACACCTCTTTGCTTTCACAAAGCAGGAGGCGATGAAGCTGGATGCAGAAAACCACCAGCACGAAATCATCAGTATCATCAGTGAGCTTGCAGGTGACACCAAGTGCAGCAGGAGCGTCGATCTGCGCGAGGACAGGGAGGGTCCACAGAGAGACTTGGAGAGGTTGGATCGGTGGCCAACGTCAGCGGGATGGGCTTCAACAAGGGCAAGTGCCAGGTCCTGCTCTTGGGCCACCACAACCCCCTGCGTGGCGACAGGCTCGGGGAGGGGCTGGAGCTGTCTGGGGGAGAAGGGTCTGGGGGTTCTCACTGACAAGCCGCTGAGCAGGAGCCAGCAGGTGCCCGGGTGGCCAAGAAAGCCAACGGCCTCCTGGCTTGTGTCAGCACTGGTGTGGCCAGCAGGGACAGGGAGGTGACAGAGCCCTGGGCTCTGCCCTGGTGAGGCCACACCTGGAGGGTTGTGTCAAGGTTTGGGCACCTCAATCCCAGAGAGATCTGGAGGGGCCGGAGCGAGGGCAGAGGAGGGTAACGAGGCTGGGGAAGGGCTGGAGAATAAATCCTCCTCCTCACACTGAACACTCCCAGCTCCTTCCCTGGCTCCTCACAGGATTGATTCTCCAGCCCTTCCCCAGCCTCGTTGCCCTCCTCTGCCCTCGCTCCGGCCCCTCCAGATCTC